TTTAATGCTATGCAATTGGTATTTTTCTAACTATATTTAACCGGATGAAGGATTTTAGTCACGGACGTCTGGATCTTAAGTTATCAGAGCAACAAGCTGAGCTAGTTCGGTTAGCTGCGCCAAACTGCCCTGGAGAATCACATGAAACCTCTAATCACGGGGTCCGTCTGCTTTGGAGATTTGATTGTGATTGGTGGTTTGCTGTGCATGAAGAGCCTGCATCTCACTCACTCAAGTACCCCTGACATGAGAGCCGCGCAAGTTTTCCTTTTGTAGCAACAGCATTTTTTTTTTTAAATCGCACGTCCACGCGATGTGAATATCGCGCATGCGCATATCGTGATTATCGATCTATCGTGCAGCCCTAATATACACACTTCATTCAATCCCTTTCAAAGCCCATTTTTAGCCACTCAGAAAACAAAACAAAACGGATGAAAAAGAATAAGGTTGGTTTCGACCGGTATTTGTCCACACAGCCCTGCTCCTTTTCTTATCTCTGCTCAACATACACAGCTCCGTTTCTCTTCCTCGATCATCTCTCATTTACTTTCTATCTCTCAAGGTCTGCTCTCTGAGCTACCTGCCTAATATATTCCCTCCATGAGAGCCAGGAGGAAATCATTGGAACGAAGCAAACCATTTATTAGCAGGAGTGATTTAATTGATTTCCAGCTCCATTTCAGCACGAAGGTACATTCTTCCGCAGGAGGCTGTGTGGAATTGTCATTGGTCTAAACTTTCCTATTACAGACTCCCTGAAATAAGCTTTGTTATTTTGGAACTAGAACAAATAGGTCTGAGCGCATTTCAAGGCCTGTGAGCACAGTATTACACCCCATCCTCCTTCCCTGCTATTTTTTCCCATCTCTTCTTATCCCTCCAGATGGTACTGTATATACGATCCCACTGAACCCAGGGTGTTGTCATCTGCCGCTCAGTCAACGACAACAAAACATCATTTTTGGCATTTCATTTTCACTGTCTGTTTGAAAAAGTAAGTGTGAGACTATATCAAAGCGCGACGTCCCAACTAATCAACGTGCTTCACAGCGTCTTAAACTACAACGCCTCCTTACAAAGCAATCACACACTCCGGTAGGCAATGAAGTTCCCCAGGGGTCACACTTATACTAAAACACGAATAATTATACTGTAACATGCCGTTTGTGCTGCCTCTTTTCAGTTCGAAATAAGGTTCAGAAAAGTGTCCGTTAAATTGGTTTGTGAACTTTTAGTATTTGTTTTTCTGCATTGTAGGAGATTGAGTGTGTGTGTTTTTGTGTGCGTTTTGAGCTGCTGTGAAGGAAGATGAGCAGCATATGTGATACTGGGCTCTGTAATGGTATTTCCTGCAGGGTAATAGCTCTCAGCAACTCACTTTGTACCGCGAATCGCTCAGCTAATTTCACACCGACCCCAAGGAAATGGCCGGTTTGACCCTGTACTCTCGCCTTCAATCGCTAATCTTTTTTCAAAAGTGTCCCTCCCGCTGACACTCTTAACAACGCCGCTCTCTCTCCTTTACTTCCTGCTTCCCCTCTTACTCAGGGAAGTCTGGGCAGACAGTGTTTTGTTATGCAGAAATCACCTAATTAGCCTCTGAGAGTGTTGTTTATCTCGCCCATAAGTCTAATCGTAAACATCTGCTCTTGTTCTTTGGTCGTGAGTGTGAGCTAATCATAAGTCTCTTGTTTCGTAATATAATGAAAGCTGGAGCCGATTCAAGCAGAATTGGTTTGATTAGCAGAGATTTCTGTGGGGGAGCAGCGATCTGGATACCAAACTCCTTCAGATTAAAGCAGGTTCATTTGGAGTTCATCGGCGCTCACAAGATAAGGGTACACGAGTCAAACATGCACATACCTGCAGAGAAAATGCATGAATTATCTCCTGCTCAAGTCCATTGTTGGTAATAAAGTTTCTTTCTCATTGAGAAGGCTTATTCTTTCTTCAGTCAACTGCAAAAACTCGACTGGATAAGATGCACTTTCTTTCCACTTAAAATCCATTCAAAGTCATTTGTTACACTTACCTTTCTGGAGAAGCTCTCTTTAACCCATCATTCTGCATTCCTCCTGCAGGTAGTACGGTCAGAGCTGAAGGAACGTGAGCATTTGGTGATCAGCACTTTGGATCAAGCCCGGATGTTTCTCGCTGACCAGCCCATCGAGGGTCCCGGAGAGCCACGCAAAAACCCACAGCCAAAGACAGGTACGTTTATACTCTCCATTAAAACAAAATCAGCATACTCGCCTATATTATAGACACTTAGCACTGGACTCAATGGTGAGCACCCTGATGACAGACATATTTAGTGTTTTGTAACTGTCATTTCCGCATTATAAAAATGAAACTAATTGTACTATCGTTGCCATAAATTATTGAACTTGCCATGGACAAATCTTTTATTTAAGGTACTGTAGTGGATACATAAACTTAAATGTAGATTCAAATAAAAGGGCAGAGGATATAGCTTGTTATAATAAAGGTTATAATTACATTTTATAGTAACATAGTCCCTTTTATCCATCTTACTAGACGTCTGATTCAGTACATTCTGGAGCAAAAGGCATTTAGACATTCAAAGCAAGCCTATCTGGTTGTCTTTAAATAGAATGTATGACTTGGCCCAGTTGTGAGGTGAACTGCTCTACAAACACCGCTCACTAGTACCAATATCTAACAGTTCACGGCGAGAATGAAAAATGCGCCGACTCATTCAACATTCCTTTGCTGTCTCTGTCGGATGCGGCAGAGAAGTCTTGGTTAAGTCAGCACATTTGCCTTCAAACTAAAACCCTACTGTGTAAATAATTAAACCATCCCACGGGGCGGTGTAGGGGTGTGGCAAGACTTCAGAGCGTATTCCGATAGGCTTGTTCTCTGTGATCTTTGATATGCGTATCAAAGCCTCCCCTCTTTGTATAAATAGATAAAAAGCTGATCTAAGATTAGAGGCCGCCCTTGTTGTGTAGTCAGTGGAGATGACGTTTCTTATAGTGACACAGAATCAAAGTCGAACAACTTCAATCGCTTGTCTTTTTTATTCAGTTGTCCCTGTGCCGTTAAATTTTGTTTTGTTTGTACGTTACATTTTTCATTACCAAAGACACACAGCATCACATTGTTTGTTTGTATCTGCATGAGGCGCCACCTGCAGTACGGCTCACAGATGTCTTCTTAGTGTGTGTATGTAAATGAGGAAGTGAGGGAGAGAGGGTGAAGAGAGATGCAACAGGTGAAGATGATTATCTCCACAGTGGAGAGAAGACCTGTGAACTCATTAGCTGCAAATATTTCTGTGTCGTAATAATGTCCGTTTGGGAAGCAGTTTTCTGTCTCTGTCTGCATCCTATGATTCTATCCTTTGTGTTTTTTGCCCTTTTGATCACTTTCATCATGCTTTGCCTGCCAAAAACTCTATCCGCACTTTAATTGGGATCCTTTTTTCCATGTTTTTTTAATACCATATATGCACTTCTTTTATGTCCTCTCATGTTGAGTTTAACTTATCTGCCTTACCTGAAATCGAACAAAAGCACATAAGAATAAAAGATAGTTATATGCAGGAAGAGAAAAAATGCCCAAGAAAGGCTTATTCAATATGTCAAGATGTCATTTATTTAATACAACTATGGCTCCATTTCTTAGGACTCTTTTATCTAATGAAAACTGATAAAAAGGACTTCCTACTTCAGTCAAATAATCTGATCTTCAGAATATTCTTTGAATTATATAATACATGTATATAAATGGAAAGCCAGTTGGATGCAAGAATTTGAAGAGGTTGCATTTTTAGCTGGAGGACAATTATATTAAGGGTAGTACAAAATATCTACTAATGTTTTTTTTGTATTATTTGACTTTAACTTTAACTATATATATTTATTTGTTGTTCTTTTCTTTTCACTATATCTTTAAAGCGTCTTTGAGCACCTGTAAAAGCGGCTAACAAAATAAATCTTTTATTATTATAATGTAGTTGTAGGGAAACTACGCATATATTAAAGAATAGAAAAGGCAGTACCATCTTTTTCATCAGAATAACTGACTTCTCTTTCTTCTTCCAGACCTCACCCCAGAGGAGAAGGCGCGAGGTTTGGCCCGGGCGATCCGCAAGCAGACGGGCGAGGTGATGGAGCGGTGGGAGCGTCTGAAGGGGCACATGGGGGGCTGGCAGAGTCAGGTGGAGCGAGCCCTGGAGCGACTCCAGGAGCTGCAGAGCTCCATGGACCAGCTGGACCTGAGGCTGACTCAGGCAGAGGAGGCCAAAGAGACCTGGCAGCCGGTGGGGGACCTGCTGATCGACTCTCTGCAGGACCACATCGACAAGACCATGGTGAGAGGCAGCACTGCTGTTGTGGGCATTAATGCATCGTAATCATCAACACTTCTAGATAGTTCCACCCCTCTGAAAACATGAAGCACTGAATCAACTTATTTTAGATTTAGCATTAAAGGTCACCTATAATGCAAAATCCACTTTTCATGTCTTTTATACATCAACATGTGTCCCCTCTGTGTCAAGAGATTCTGAACGTTTCAGGAACAAAGAATCTCTCTCTTTTTGTCCTGATCCATTTCTATAAAAACCTGTCTGAAAATGAGCTGATCAGATTGTGGCCAGTTTGTGATGTCATAATGTTTTTTGGGTTGTGTAACCATTAGCCAATCACCAACCAAGGTAACTCCCCCCCCCACCTTATCACCTGAATCTCCTCCTAAAGCACTATTGTGTTCTTTTTAACCAAATATCTCTCACAGGGGCGTGGGGAGGGGCTCCTTATATTCATCTAAAGTAACAGACAGAGAATCAGCACTTTTGAAACAGGGCTGAAACAGAGAGGATTATGGGATGCTGCATTGGGTGATGTGTTTGGTATTTGAAGCCAAACACTTCAGAGACATGTTTTGTAAAGTTACTGCTGTCAATTATGGTTTGCTTCAGTTCAAGTATTAGCCGTACCATGCATGAAATAAGTGTGTGCATTAATACGAGTGAGACATGGCTGTGAATTCCGTCCTCTCTCTTTTTGTTTTTCGGCTACAAATTGCCACTTTATTTGATTATGTACTTGGTTTGATGATTCTGCCTTGTTTGTTTGCAAATGCCACTCATTACATTTGAGGAAGTCTTTTCCACAAGGATATGCGGCCAAGAGACAAGCAACAAGAAACACATTTAGTTTACAAGCAGACACATGACAGCACTTCTTAATAACGGTTAACAATAAATGAATACTGTGAAGGAGGAGAAAAAGTGCCACACAGAAATATTCAAAATAAATCATTGTGTCATTAGCGAAGGCAACTCCTTCACTGTTGCATTTATTTCTTTGTTTGTTACTCCGCTTCACATCTAATAAATGCATCCTTGGTATAGACACTCTTGCCATTCTATCTCTTCACATCCTATCATGTTGACATCCACAATCTAATCCAATTTATGAATGGATTTCCAAACAACACTTGAAGCAATCTCTTCCAGTTTGTAACACACACAAAGCTCGTACTCTAGGCATTACGTTTGTACAGACAGCCACAGTACAGACTTTACATTGTTGTTATAGCATCACAAAACTCAATTTAAAACTCGATTTATCTCAAATTGGACATGATAAGGGCAACGCCGTAAATAAGAAAAAGTTACTCTACCATTCATACCATTAAGATGAAACTGAAGATAATCTGATCTCGGGTTACTGTTTTGCGAAAGCACAATCACCATGATAAGGTCATCAGTTAACTGAATATTTATGATCATAATTCTGTTAGAATATCACATTTCTGAAATTGAATCTTGCCGTCCAGACCATCAGAGAGGAGATCGCACCGTTACGCCACGATGTGAGAATCGTCAATGATCTTTCTGCAGAGCTGACGCCTTTGGACATCCAGCTCTCGTCGACCGCCTCCAGACAACTGGACCAGCTCAACATGAGATGGAAACTCCTACAGGTAGTTCCTTACTTTCTTAGCATTTCGCTTTTTCTTCTTACAGCATTTTGTCCAGAAACACTAGCTTCTACGACTCTACTTCTTCTATCCCCTTTCTTCCTGTTCCTTTATTCTCCTACTGCCTGTCTGTGTGTCTTTCCCTCTTCTAGAGTCTTATCTCTTTCTCTCGGTTCCTCTCACCTTTCACTTTGTGTCAGCCAAACACACACGGGACGGAGAGTTGTCCCTCTACCTGTGTACCTGTTTTATTTGAACACAGCTCCGTGCTCTCTGCAAAACTGTGTCGCTGCACATCAATGAACACCATTCTCACATTACACCAGTCACATTCTTGACTCTCAACACAACTGATGGTCTTGGTGTGATCCGCCCCGCTCGGGGAGATGCTGAGTGTTTCTCAGAGCGGAGCATGTCTCAGCCCTGGAGGCAGAGTCGTGGAGAAGTCTCTCTACGAGTCATCTGAAGGAGAGAAGAGACGTGATGTTGGTTGTGAATTTTGGAGTGACATCCTCCATGTTAACTCTGCATGAGTTCACACTTCAAATCAGAGAGCGTGTGGGTTGTTTTGGTTCTCTCAGACACATTCTCCTTATCGAGCTAGGTTAATATCTTTATTTCTTTACGCTGTGATTAAACATAAGCTCTTGTTCTGTACACACAACATCTTTTGTATGTACGTCCTTCCTGGTAGATGGATCCCACATGTCTCGTTCTCCCTCAGGTTTTCCCCCCTTTGATTATGGGGTTATTTTTGGGAGGTTTTTCTTGTGCGCTGCTATGATCTAAGGACTGAGTGTGTCTTGTGCTGTACAGATTGTAAAGCCCCCTGAGACAAAAGTGTAATTTGGCTATAAAAATAACATTTCATTGATTTAATTAGTTGTTTTCAGTACACACTGTAGACACATAAGACCACAGTTTAAAAGTCATTGTAACATTTGCAGACTTCATTTAAGGTTTTTCTCCATGCAGCATTGTCGCTGAAGATGAGTGGGGACAACAAGAGCAGAAAAGGGTCTTACAGTGTGTTAAGAAATGCAATCCAGGAAGGAAACCTAAAGTCATTCCTTGTTAAGCATAACACTGCCACAAAGAGAAACTGGTACTGGGGCTACTTTGTGGCTTTGCACTGTACAGACACCCTCTAATAGTCTTTGTGCCTGGAGGCTTACCATAGCTCAAATAATGAGTCAGAGGAGCGCATAGTTTCAGTGGACTCCAAACTTCTCCTTCTGTGTTGTTCGCTCATTTAATTTCTTTCCGTCTGCAGGAAGACGACAGCTTCACTAATAGGCCTGGTCCGACTGTGTAGTTTGGTGATTTGGCATTCACATGTAGACAGCTCCCATATTCCTCTCGGTGGGACACTGGCCATTACATCCATTAATGGCAAGAAGGAACTGTGCTTTTGGTCTTTCTGAGCCCACTTCCAGCTTCCCTGTGTGGACTGCCGTGATTTAGCTTCCATATGCCTGAGGTGTGTGTGTGAGAGTCTCAATATTACTGACTGCCAATACTGTTCTGCTAGTCAGCCTGATGGAGCAAAGCAGCCCCGCAGCCATGTTAGACCCAGGTGCGCTGATAGAGAGGTCAATACTCTGCTTTCACAGGACTGCAGGATTAAATGATAACTCAAAGCTGTGTGAAGCTTCACCTAGGGCTGCACAATTTATTGTTTTTTTAATTGCCATTGCGATAAAACACTTCGGAAAACACTGCAATATTACAGTATGTGTGTTTGAGGATATATAATTTAGTAGTTAGTTAACTACTCACCTTTTGCACATGGCACTTATCTGTGTATGGAGAATGATCCTGTTGAAAGCAGGATATGATTTGACTCTTGCTCGTTTTAGCTTTTTTTAAACACTTGGGAATGCACTGAAGTACTGTGACCGACTGCTTCCAGTGTAAATACAGATTGAGAACTGCAGGTATCACCAGGATATGAATGCGCATGTAATCACACTCTGTGGGAGCTGCGGTGTGTACCCACAATAGAAATAATAAGAACCAGAGATTCTCTGATACTATACTGCACACACCAGTGAAATGCAATACACACATGTAAATAGCATGCCATATATCAACCGTATACTTATTAAAACAATTGATGAGCATATTTTTAACTCATACAAGTTAAAGGGCTCTTAAGCTTTCAGCAACTCCCCTTTAACTGAATGTATTGTATTTATTTTATTATTTAGATTTTATTTTACATTTTCAAAGACATACATAACAAGAAAGGCAGCAAAAAAATACAAGGACAATGCTCACACATAAAAAATAAAACAAAACAACACAATAAGCAGTGGGGGGGAGTTACAGTGTCTATTTAATTGTATGCATTTGTTCCCGTTGAACAAAAAGTGTAACCATAGGAACACAAAAAACTGTCTTACATCAGTACATGTGGTCTTGGTCTTGCATCAGGGCATTAATTACACCATAACATTGATATACTTTCATTATTATTTATATGTTCCCCTGCTCAAAATGTATTCTCTATATTACTCACGTTCCTCCCCGAGGACATTATTGCACTGAATAATACAACCATGGCACCATCTCCAGCCGCTGTAAAGCTCTGTTTCTCTGAGTGCAACTCTAACCAACCTGTGTCTGTGTGTCTGTTAATGGTGCAGGTTGCGGTGGAGGACAGACTGAAGCTGCTTCAGGAAGCCCACCGGGACTTCGGCCCCTCCTCCCAACATTTCCTCTCCAGTAAGTATAGAGCAAATGATCTCTCATGGGAATTGGAATCATTTGTGGGGACTTGCTTTGTTTCCACTCAGTTGCACTGCTTCACATCCTGCTAATTATTTCCATGTCCCATCTTCTAACCTTCGGCCACACGCTTGACATTCGTGCATGCTCAGCTGATATGTGGGTGCGAGTGCTAACACACACACACACACACACACACACACACACACACACACACACACACACACACACACACACACACACACACACACACACACACACACACACACACACACACAGTTTGCAGACAAAGCACTTCACTCTTGAATAATGCAACGCTTAATTACAGTTCTCCACTGACTCCCTTCTTCCTTCTCCCTCTTTGGAGTGGTCATTAGCAGGGAGAGAGGAACAGAGAGTTGGAGGCAGAGCTACAGAGGAAAGAGATGAATGCACGAGTGTGAACATAAAACAAAGCAGCCAGTCTCTCTCTCTCTCTCCTCTTGTCTATCTCTCTAATGTCATTTTCGATAATCATACGGCCATTAGAGTTCTTTCTGCTCCACCTGATGGACTTTTTCTGGCCACCAGACACAGAGACAAAATGGATGGTGTGTGATTCGAAGCAGGTGGTAAGCTCTGCCCGCCGTGCCGTGTCACCCATAGACATGAATTTACCAAGGAAGTCCCACTGTGAGCTTAACAGCTGCGCCAGACAAAAACAGCGTCTCTTCTGTCATCTCCCCAGCACTATGACACTATCTACTCCATCACACATCCGCTCTCATTACACTAGTAGCTTAATATTCCCTCGGGGATCAATAAAGTCCTGCGTCCTTATCTTGCTCTATCCATCTCGTATATCTCCCAATCTCACTTAATCTCTTTCTCTTACTGTCTTTTCATCTCTCTATCTGAGCGCAGAGCTGTGTCAAGGAGGAGGGGAAGTGGGAGGACGATAAATCAAGAAAAATGTCTGCTCTTGAGAGCTTCTCAAGTCTTATATCTAGCTGTTTAACAATGCCTGTCATTTTAAAGTCGTCCTTGGTCTGACAGTATTAACAAAAACCTGGACTCTGCACCTTTTTTCAACAGTCCTCTTCTTCCCTCTGTTTTTCAATGTATTTTCCCTTTCATGCCTTGTTGTCTCCCATCTCCGTCTCTCTGCCCCGAAAGTAATACCCATTTACTTTCTTTTACTATCGATTTCATGCACAACGACACATTTTTACATAGATCGCCCATTATAATGGAAGTGTTAGATGTGAGAATTAGTCAAAGTCAAGCCCCAAACACTAAATGGATTACTGTGCAGCATGGTACAATTGTGCGATGTTTAATAAGTTGGTGCTTTGATTTTGACTGATGATTTTTTTTTTCTCTCCATCCATCTCTCTGCAGCATCTGTTCAGCTGCCCTGGCAACGTGCGGTTTCTCAGAATAAGGTTCCATATTACATCAAGTAAGTGTGGAGATTGTTTTGATACCCATCAGTGTGTAAAAATGGTTTGCAATTGTGTGTGTGTGTGTGTGTGTGTGTGTGTGTGTGAATGTTATGAGACAACAGTTGTTGCACACTCGCTGTCTTTAAAGGTAGGGCAGGCAGGATATTATAAAAATTCAGTTGTCAAAAAATGCTTTGTTCTCTGGGGGATTCTTTTCCATCTCCTTATTATGGTTGTCAGCTTGTTGCGTGTTTGACCCTTTTTAAAACAAAGCATTAGGATTTTTTAGCAACATGATGCAGGTCAAGGAGTTTTGAGTTCTTGATTTGAATACTTCCTGTCTCAGACGGTTTTTCTTGACACATTTTGGTGAGATTAAAAGACATTTAAGAAAAAACTGCTTTGAAACATGTAGGAAAATAAGTCTGAAACCATTCATAAGACCATTTTGTGAGGCAGTATGTTGCACATTGTGTTGAAATGTTATTTATTCATCATTTCATTTTCTTTTATAATTCACTGTGTAAAGTTCATTATCTCAAATGTATCCACGAGGAATCTCATCTTTTACCACCTTTCACACTAAAGCTGTGACCTGTAGTGGTATTCTTTGCACGTGCATCATTTATGTTATCCTAATTAGGAGTTTCTTTTTTGCCCAGTTGCTCCTGTGTATATATTACAATTCAAGCTATTTCACCCTCGCATTTCTCATTCAGTCCAACATTAGCACTTCCTTTTGAATAGATAATACCTGATTGGATCCCAGGGCAGCTTCCCACACTGTTTTAAAAGTGACTAGAATAGCTTTAGCTTGACGCCTTGCTTCACATTCAAATTTTTAGCCAAACTTCCGGATCCTATTAAAACAGGTAGAGAGAAGATGTGTGAAAAACGAGACATCACCTCTACGGTTCAGAAATGTTCTGAAAGTTTAAAGGACCTCATTATCCAGAAATCATATAACCGTATGTCAGTAAACTGCTGACACATCAAACCTGAATTCAGCCTTATTTAAATCTTTGGGTAGCAGTTTGAGCTATTGCTTATCACCTGCTTCTGTCTTCCTCTATATAAATTCTACTGGGACACTGTTACAGTCTCACTCTGTGATCTAAGATGATAAAATTGATATATTTCAATGCCTGCCCCCTTAAATCACCTCTTGCCCTCAGTCGAAATGTCACAGACTCCGTTAAATTGTCAACTAGCCATTTTTTTTAATCCCCCTTGGGCCATTGTCCGCAGAACAACCCACAGTAAAAGCTTCAGCCAGAAAGATTTACACACCCAGACTCTGTTAAATGTCTCCAAAAAGTTTTTGAAACAATATTTTCCAGCATTTATATATTTGTTTGGGTTAAATTATGATCAATTAGTGTACACATGGGACTATTTTCAAGACCTTTGCTTTTTGCTGCATTTAAATGGAAAGCTAGTAAAACTTTCATGAGCCATAAAAGCAGCAATTTAGAAGTGTTTTTTTCAGTTTATTGTATTGAGTTCATTTGGGAGGAAGTCAAGATAAAGTGTTTTCAGACCAATAGAGATAGAAAGAGAAACAGAGAGACAGGGGGACACACCTGACCTGAGTTTGGGTGTGTAGCTTGGCACTAGAGGCGGATCAGAGATGAAAGCCAGAGAGAAACAACGACTCAGGGACCGGCTTATAACTTTAGAGTCAACAACAGCCTGTGATCACAGATGTGCCCAGCCAATGAACCTGCTTCCTTCCACTCTCACAAACAAAACACATGTGCATGAGGCCGTTCAGCCAAAATAATACAGACACACACAAAGAGATTCCCATCCTCTCCCTGGCAAGGAAACGCTCACACACACAGCCATAGTTGCACATTAACTAGTACTGGAACCAAGCACAACTCCAAACAGACACACACACCATATGTGCGGTCGATGCCTCAAGCCGGAGTTGGACCCGGTTATTCTTCTCCATGGTGGCTTTCACATTACATTTGAATTGCCTTTCCCAAACGAGAAAAAAGAGATCAATCACTCTTTACTCGTTAACTCTGTGTGTGGCTCTTTCTTTCATTTTGAAACAAAGATAGTCCTTTGTGCCGCCATCTCCTCCCTCACACATAAGTATACCTGGTTGTTGCACCCTCATGAAAACCTTCTAAATGTGCTGCTTGAAAGCTGGAGTCTGAATCCATCTGCAGGAATAATCACAGGTCGCTCTCAGTGCCGCGACATCCTTGGGACACCAGCGTTAGACTTTGACACGTTCATTTCCCAGAACCCCCCTTCGTTTCCTCTTCCATCTCCTCTCGTTCTCTGCCTCTTTTCTCTGGGTTGACAAAAGCCCCCTGATTAAAGCTTCGCCTTGTCCCACCCCCTGTGGTGATGAGTTCAGGCGACATATTAGGGAGGAAATCAAATGGCTTCACACAAGTTCAGTACGTGCCATCTCATGCTGGCAACCCCCCAGGCTGTCCCATTTCACCCATTCTGGCGCTTCAGGGGAGGGCTTAGCCGCCTGGTAGGCTTTTGGAAGGAAAATATAGTAAGACTGCATCTCTGAAAAGATTAGAGAAAGTCTTTTCTGCACGCAAAAGCTTTTGTGGATGTTCTGTCTGTCCGTGTTTTTGTCAGGGAAACAATTGGTGGGGTTGGTCAGACCGAACAGAACAGACAGCCTTTGTACACACGAGTGGACTTTATGCATCTCTTTCCCTCTGTGCCTTTCTTATGTGGGAGAATTGTAGTTTTAATAAGAATCCAAAGCTGTTGGAACTGCATTTCAGAATTAGAATAGTGATAACTTTGGGAGGGATGAGGCCTTTTCTTTAAGAACAAAAAGAGCCAAGGAGAGGATGTCAGTTGGCGAATTCAGACTCTTCTTCTGTCACTGCGCTCCATGATAAGCCTGGCAGGTCGCTGTCACCCTGAAAAATACATTTTATTCTTGCTTACTTATTTATGACTAATTCTGTCTCTTTGGATATCCAGATATGCAAGAAATCATTTGTCTGCACACTCATGATAAGTCACGGCGCTGTGTCAGTGCGGGACAGTGATAAACTCCCAGCAGACACACAGCAGAAGTGTTTGCAGGCAGCCGTTTGATAGGGCACTGACATTGTCTAATCTTTTACTTTCCTTCTGTAGGAAAGACAGGCATTGTCACTCGTTCAGGGAAAAATGTGTTTATGGTTAATTATGGAGCAGCAGAGTAGGAGTGAGCAATTTGCACAAACATTTTAACCAGCTGATGGACTCTTAAGCAGCTCTAAATGGCACCGCAACATTGAACATTTCATATTAATAGCAATTATCTTTGATAAGCCTAATTGTTATTGTTGGAAACTGCTGGTGTTGGATGTTTTCACCCTATTTTGCTTGCTTGCTCTCATAAAAACATATTGTAGAACGTTTTTTTCCCGTCCTCACCGCACCCTACATAAATTCTGTCTTTCCTCAGCCTGCCGCAGTTTCGCCTTCGGTGACCTCGTTTGATTTGTTGATGCTTTCTCTCTGATGTCATTGAATGATGTTTATGGGAGAAAGGTGTCACATGACCCAAGCAGCTTGATCCTCATATGCCCTCGTTCCCCGTTAGCCACCTCTTTTTAAAAGCCAGTGTTAAAACAAACTACAGGTGTAAAAGCATTGGAAAGACCTGATACTTGGATGTTTATCATGGACGATTCACTGCTGCTGTCCAAAAAGCCTTCAAATATTTGTCAGGAAATGTGTTTTTTGCCTCATTAATATTTTCCCGATGCCTCTCCTCTTCGCTGTTCCTCTCACTGTGTTATCTAAACAGTAGCAGCTAGTAAATATGTCAACAGTTCTCTATTCTTCCTCCAACAGGACAACAGAAAGATTGCTTAGGCATTACAAAGTGAATGCATTGCCGGGATACAAGTGTTGAGTACAGTGGAACTTGACAAGTCATTATGGCATTCATGAGCTGTGGACATAATCACAAGCTCTCTAGTCTTTTTGTTGATGGAAGTGTCGTACAATTCATTTTGTTGGGGCAGTGATTGGATTGTGTGTTCCCATCATTGTACCAGTGTTGAGGAGTCTCTGATGAACCCTTCTACACTTCAATGATGAACATGTTTTATTGCAATACTTGTCAGACAATTGTGGAGCGGATATTCAACATTCTTCCTCCTCGTTGTGTATTTGCGTGCGACAAATATCATCAATTCCCCTGACTTTGATTCATTGAAACCCTTTCAGGCGAGCTCTTTGTAAGCTAAGACACGAGCACCTAGACGCTTTAGCGATGTCTGTGCGGGTGTGAAAGGGCCATGAGTCTGCACAGCCGGTGAATAGTGATGAACATCTGGGGCTCCTGTTGTCCATCCCACCAACTCGGTTCACTGTCAGCACTCCACTTCACTTCCTGCTGCCTGTCAGCGGAGAGGAACCACAGGGGAGCCTCTGCATTCAAAAACAGACTTTTATTTCTAAAATGTCTTCCTGAAATCTTCTGAAACTTTCCTCACAGATCTTAGTGCCGGCCAGATGGCTTCTTGAAGTACACACATGCGCACACACTCACACACCACGACCAGCAGAGCTCAAATAGATGCGCTGATTGGCAGCTGCTGCTTCAGAAATGTCAGATTTTCTGTCCTGTGTGTCTGAAAGCCACCATGTTTGATCAGTTTTAGCACAGCCTTGTTTTATTTCTTTTTAAAGCATTGGTTTTTCAGTAGAATAGGTTTGTTCATGTTTTTGTAGTATTTGTGTATCTTCTGTCTGATCCAGAAACGTAAACAGGGAGTTGAGACAAGGTTCCTTTATATTTATATCCCATGGTGTTTGAAAAGACACATACTGTTGTGATGAGAGGGATTTAAAGTGTGTGTCTATTCGTGTATGTGTGTGTGAGTGTGTGTTTCATTCAAATGGCATTATGGGGGTTTGGGTTTTATACATTATTCGTGGATTTGTGGAGTAATCTACAGCCTCTATCCTCAATTTGTGTGCAATGTCAAAAGAGATGCCAATAAAGTCTTCAGTTTGAATGCTTTAAGTGATGATGATGATGATGATGATGATGATGATGATGATGATGATGATGATGATGATAGTTATGTTAGCGTGGCCACAAGTTTGTTTGTTTTTTGTATCTTTTGAAGTAGTTTTTCTGTCATTTTGCCTTGAAGGTTTAGCCAGTGTGTGTTTTGACTTCAGTGGCTCCTGTTCTGTTCTCTTTGTGTTTCAGCTCATGAGTCTTTTAGGTTTCTCAGACTAATAGTTGTTCTCTGTTGTTGTTTTTTTTGTTGTTGTTTTCAGTCACCAGACACAGACCACCTGCTGGGATCATCCAAAGATGACAGAGCTCTACCAGTCACTAGGTAAGAAGCACAAACAATCGTATAATGACACAATCAACTGTCTTTAAGTCCTAGATGTAATCCCCACCGGAAAGTCTTATTTAATCTTAAATCAAAAAGCATATTTTCTCAGTTGCTTCTAATGATATCCGACCAATCATAACATTTCCGTTTTATTTGACCATGTTTAAAGGTACTGCATAAATTGTCTCCAAGATAGAGGTGAATTTCATTTTTGCGGCACTCCAATTAATAAAACATGCCTTTTAAAAAAGAAAATGTTAAGTCTAGAACCATGTTCCTGTCACTCTTTATAATCCACTGCATATTTCAGAAAAAAGTTTCAATTAAAAGTTTTCTTATAAGGGATCAACAAAATCTTGCATGCATGCCCAATCGTCTCGTCTAGTTAGTTTACTCTTTGGATATAACTTGATGGATTTCACCTTGATTTTTTCGCCCTCTCCCTGTTCGTATCCATATGGAGCTGTGTTTCCCAGTGGGGCGGCTTGTATGACCGTGCTTTAATGAGCAGCAGGATAAGTAATCAGCTGTGAAAGTTTGGGAGCGTTTTCTGTAGGCCAGCAGCTCATCAAATAGCACCGGCTCCCACTGAGACACAACTCACTAACCTAATTACACCGTGCAAATCAGCCTCCCCTCGGTCAGCTCCATAGAAAATAACTAACAAAATGTCGGCTCTTACTGAATACAGGGGTCCTGCTTATGTTGCTCAGTAGGCTGATTTCTATTGCCCTTTGTTTTCTGATGTTCTGCCTCCATTTTGCTTTGTCCGTTTAACTTTCATCTCTGTGTCTCTTTCCCTGCTTGTAGCGGACTTGAATGGTGTGAGATTCTCAGCATACAGGACAGCCATGAAGATCCGCCGACTACAGAAAGCGCTGTGCTGTAAGTAAGACGCGCGCACACACTCACACCTCAATACCTACAGTCATGTACTGCTTCATTTTAAGTCTGGGTTCAACGAGGGGATGCAGGAATGATTTGAAGCTTTGCCAGATGCTGTGCCAGACCAACGCAGGAGCCAAGGATATTTTGCCTATAAAATAACACACACTCTCTGTGTGAGTGTGTGCGTGGCTGTGGAGGATCTTCACAATGCACAGTCACAGTTGGTGCTTGTGTTGAGCATAGCCTCATTTGGTGGGCACAGGTGTTTTTTTTTTAGGCTGAGCTCAAAATAAGATACAAATCCTCAACACGAAAGCTGCTGGTTTTGTTGTTTATAATGTTTGCTTTGATAAAGGTGGCTATTAACTAGTCTCAGGTGGCTATCAACCGTATCAAGTAACACACACACGCACACACACACACACACACACACACACACACACACACACACACACACACACGACAGGGATGCTATAAAACATCTAATTAGGTAACGTGTATGCCAAGGGGCTGGTGAAGCACAAATGAGCTTGCATAGCATTCCACTAATGTCCCTCTCATATCTCATAGCTTCATCATATCTGTGTGTAAAGGGAGAAAGCTAGAGAGAAATAAGGTTTCTCTCTCTGACAGCCTGGCTGCCTTGCTGTGCGCGCTCCACGTGGATACAGCCCAGTAATTAGTGGTGTCTGGGGAACAGGGGGTAACATAAGGCAGGAGCGGGGGGGCTGACAGGCAGCATGCAACAGGGAAAATGAGGGGACTTTAGTGAGGAGTAAAGGTGAGCGGGAGGTGGGCTGTTGGAGGGGTAGTTTAAACGGTTTCTAGAAAAGGATCAGAGGCAGAGATGCATTCAGAGCAATAGACCATTGTGCATTCTTTCACTCTAGTATATCTGTAACAATGTTTTCCAACATCTTGTTTTTAAATATTTGTTGGATGCAATTAAATAGAAATGTACATAAGGGGTAGGTCTAAATGAATACTAATGCTCTTTAGCAAATATGTAGTAGCATTTATGTTGATCATGTCAATTCAACACCTTTAGCAGAGTGAACACACTGTGTATTTGTTTCAGTCCTTGCACCGTCTATTTGTTTTGAACAACGATGATAGTTATCTGGTTGGTGTTTTCAGTGGACCTTGACTAAATAATTAATTAACAGTCCGATCAGGATCTGATCTTTCCGTTAATAAGTCTGTAAAATCATGTAAAAATACTAAGCACTAATTCCACATTCCACACTTTTTTCCCCTTGCAGACACAAATGAGCCACAGCGTGTTAACAAGCCAACTACTCTATAGGCAGATTTATATATTTTTCTCCCCAGTTTTCAGTCTATGTGTTATGTTAAGCTAACCGACTGCAAGGACCGGTCTCAAAGTAAATACACAGATATGAGGGTTGATCTTCCCATACAACTCTCAGAAAGAAGTAAATAAGCACATTTACTGCTGGGCGAAATTATTACTTAAACTCATTTGTGTCTCATCATCGCCCACACTCACACTTTGAATGCATCTAATGACTTTTATTTGATGTCTCAAAGGACAGAATAAGCCTGTCTCGTTAAATATTCTCCATCTTTTTTGCCTTTCTCTTACTTTAAGATAATTGATAGCTACAGTATAAAAGATAATGGCAGGCTATTTGATATATTGATATAAATACATTCCTTTTTTCTTATTAAGATTTTTTATTGAGTTATTGAAGTTATAGCCAATAAATTGAATCAGAAGAAACTAGACTGCTCTCAGTCTGACATTTATTCCTCGTTTGTCTTTTCTGTTCACATTTCTCTGTCTCATATTTCACAAAAATGATCCGTCTGTTCTTTGTCTCAACTCTCCGTAGCCTATTGCAGTTAGTTGTTTTGTTCCATTTTCGTACAAATATAATTATAAGTGCCACTATGAATAGACTGTGCCACTTTTTAAGCTTCTCACCCCGTTCAGATTTGGCATTTAAAGAAACATTTTTTGCCACTGCTTAAAGCTCATTGTACAATTCTGAAAGGTTACTAATGGCTCTTACCTCACCTTTTCTGTCTTTCCAACCTCGGGCTGTCACCCCTTTGTTCCCTCTATCTGTTCTTGTTAACCTTCTTCCCTTTTTCTTAACTCTCACTGTTCTTCCTCTCCTCATTATTTCTATCTCATCATTGTTTCTCTCCTACTCTGTTCTAATCCCTCTATTTCCTCCCTTCCTGCCTACTGTTCCCCTCTTTTTCTTCTGCAGTTGACCTGTTGGACCTCAGCGTGGCCCAGAGCACCTTCGAGCAGCACAAGCTCACCAACAACAATCAGCTGCTGTCCGTCCCTGAAGTCATCAACTGCCTGACGTCCATCTACGACGGGCTGGAGCAGGAGCACAAAGACCTGGTCAACGTGCCGCTCTGCGTGGACATGTGTCTCAACTGGCTGCTCAATGTTTACGACACGTACGTATGCCATCTGTTTCCAATTTAAAACACAGGCTTAGCAGTGGGCCTCCTTTGTTTTATGAATTTGTCACAGATTATGACAAAACCTGTGAATTGTGCATGTTGCCACCTGCGTCCTCGCATTTTGAAAATGTTTCTAATGAATGCAATTACATTTCCTTACATGGCACATTTTCTTGAACCAGATTGGATGAAAGTTTCAGAACTGATGCGTCACTATGCTCATTCATTTTCAAATCTATCTGCATTTGTGTCATCAGGCATAATGATTGTGTTATACTCATATTCTTTAACTCAACATATTCTGGCATTGAGCAGCAAGTGCCTCAGTTGGCATAGCAATGGCTGTTACACAGTGTATTCTTTTCTTAGACAAAACATGCATACGCACATGCTGAAATCCTTTCTGCAGAGCAGGAACATACTGTATAATCACAGCCAGAATATTCCCATTACTTTCTCACAATGATAGAAGTACAGCAGCGCACATACACACTTGAAAATGAATCTCTTTGAAAGCGCATAAAGATTTTCTGTCACTGCTGTTGCATATAATTTAGATCTGACCTGAATGCACGTAAACATTTTGTTTATACACAGACATTTACCCACAATAAATATAACTGTGTGTCTGTGTGTGTGGTCCCTTCAGTGGTCGCAGTGGGAAGATCCGGGTCCTGTCGATGAAGATAGGTCTGCTGTCTCTCTCCAAGGGACACCTGGAGGAGAAATACAAATGTAAGTGCCAACGAGTCGGTAATATATATCTGCTGATGTACACTTGCACTTAAATGCACCACTGCCGCCCCCGCTGTCCCTGTGCAGGCCAGTCTGCAGCAGGTCCATCCCATACTGCTCGAGCCAGCTACAATCCCAGCTGTATTAATCAGACTCACAGACAAAGAGAGATAGAGAGGAGCTGGAGAACGGGTCGTCTAATTGCATGAGAGACCTCCTACGCATTTCCCCTATTCTTTATTTAATTTTCTATTCTGATTTATTTTTGAGGATTAGCGAGCGTGCATATAGGCTTGCTGCACTGGGACGAGACTGTCATTCTGGCTTCCTGCGCTTTGTTTCTGCTGCTATATCGCTCCCTGTCTATCTTTCTCTGCTGTCACCGCTCACACCATTGTTCATCCCTCCAACATTGCTTTGTCTTCTGTCCTATCTTACTTACTTCTTTGCTTCGTCCTTCTTCCCCTCTTCCTCTTCCTCCTCCCTTTCTCTTGCCTTGGCATCCCTGAGCCTATTCGTTCCACTGGCAGTTTCTATTAGCCTGAGAAGGGTATCAAGCACGCTTGATTTCATCGCTCCTGCTTTAGTCTTTTGGAGTCTCATTTGCTGTCAGTCCCTGCACGTAGCTACACTGCAACACACACACACACCTAACCAGGCGTACTGCCATTCAACACTTTTTTTTTATGACAGTTACGTATGTCAAGTGTTGTACTGTGGCAGAAAATAGTGAGTTGGAGATGTGGGTCACAAGATGTGTGTGTAGGAGGCGGGTCACTAACACACATCATTTCTGGTGTTGGCGTTTACCCTACATACTTTCCAGGAGCTGGCATCCAGGCCAGCCTCACATAGAGATCAAAGTCATCTGAGCAGAAAGACCTGTCATGCCCTCCCTCCTCTCTTTCTCCAGATTACTCTCTTTGCTCAGTTTGTGCATGAGCTCTGAATATGTTCCATAACTTCGCCTCCAATATAACGTCTTCACTGGCCTAGCCTGTGTCACTGGGCAGGCATCCATATCCAGAACAGCTCTGTCAGTCTCTGGGAGAATGTGGCGGAGAGTTGCAGGCAGGAAGAGAGATATTAGAGGAGCCTGGCAAGAAAGAAGTAGACAGAAAAAACCCTAATTTCCCTACCACCTCAAACCCACACACACTAACACTTTCCTCCACATCTATATATACCTATGTCTTTTATTTTAAATATCTCCCACATGATTTTGACTCTCACTCTCTCTTTCTCTTTCTATCCCATTTCCCTCATCCCCCCCCCCCCCCCCCATTTCCTCTCACCATCCCCCCCCCCCCCCTCAGATCTCTTCAGGCAGGTGGCGTCGGCAGGTGACACGTGTGACCAGAGGCAGCTCGGTCTGCTGCTACACGAAGCCATCCAAGTCCCGAGGCAGCTGGGGGAGGTGGCCGCCTTCGGAGGCTCCAACATTGAACCCAGTGTCCGCAGCTGCTTCCAGCACGTAGGTTCACTCACAAACACACGTACATGTAGATAGGAATATATAAGCTCATAAGCACACATCATAGTCTTAATACCGTATAAAGATATGCATGGGGAAGATATATTGGAATGGCAAGTGGTTTAAAAAAACGTATGCATGCACAACCCACGTAAGAAATAATGCTTCTCTTTAATTATGAGTCATAATTATTATCAGTAAAAAACAGCCCATTTCAGATATGATGATAAAAATGTACTCATTAAGTAAGGACAAGTCTCTCACTGCAAATTGCAATATAAAACTATTGTCATTAATTGACAATATAATTATTCTGCAACTATTTTAATAATTTATTTAACATTTAGCTATTTATGATTATGAGAAAAATGACAGAAAAAACCTACTGCTTCCAGCCCCAATCAGGTTAATACTTTACATTTTTCATAGACCTATGTCCCCCCCTGCCCATTTCAGAGTGAACAGGGTTGTTTGGGATTTTGGTTCTGTTTTTACGGTAAAACAAGCAATTCGAGGTGTTCACCTTGGGCTTTTCAAAATGGTGACGGACATACTGTATTATAAAATCTCATCCTAAGTAGTCGCAGTCTTTCCGCAAACAAAATCAGAACAACTTAGAACACTGGGGCAGATCTAAACTAAAACAACTCTTCTTAATATGCCCCCCATATTGCTATTTTTCATAAAGCCAAGTTAAACTAGAACATCCACCCGCAGTTGGGTGGTACACCCTATTCAGGCAGGATTACGGTTTTGTATCTGACACAAACAAAACTGGTGACAGCCATCTGTTGCAGTTTAAATACTGTATGGCTTATATTCCACTTTAATCCAGAGACGATTTCTTGCATGGACTCCTTCTTGTCACACTCTGTGAGCCAGTCTGTGACATGAAGCAACACCTACTTGATACCCGTTCAAAGAGCTGAACATTATGAGCCTCAGAAGATGGGATTTATTGTTGGGCTGTTCCACTGCGCTGTAAAAGAGCGGGAGCGGTCTCTGCCAACATTTCTGTATCGGCTTCTAAATGTACCATTGGTTTGCCTAGCTTTATATAAGTGGAAAGGTTTGAGAGTCACAGAAGGTTGGTCAAAGTGCTCTATATATCGAGAGTAACATTACAGATAATAGTTTCTGGCAGGTAATCAGTACTAAAAGAGATTAAGTTTTGGTGCATCTTCCCAAAGCTAATTGTTGCTAAGCACCTCAGTCTCCTCCACATCTCCCCGCCATCTAACACCTGCCTCTCTCAATCCTGTAAAAGTGATTCAATATTTAAGCTCTGCTGACCAACCGTGAAGCCTCAAATGGTCTCACGTTTTCTGCTGGCTGTCCTCTAGTATTTTACAGCAGCCAGCTAACCACTTTCCTTGGTTTATCTCTGGACATCACTGGCATTTAATGATGCCTTTATCCCCCTAGGATCACTGTTTCCCCCTCTTCCTGTCCTGGCACATGCTTCGGCAGCCATAAACGGCAGCCAAACATTAAAATTAGGAAGCTATACATTTCTCAGAGAAAAGGTTTAAACGGCATCAAGTGATGGAGTTTAAACCTTTTCTCTCTTTTATTTTTCTCCAAAGAAAAAGACAAACTTACTGCCTATGATTTACTCTCTTTATGACATATTAACACACACATGCACACAGAGAGCTGCGCATGTACACACACTAATTGCTCACAGACTTGATCATGAATTGCCATGCCAGCTGTAGTCCAGTTGCTCATTAATCATACAATAATCAAACCAAGTTGGCAGGTGGAAACCAGACACGCACACACACACACACACACACACACACACACACACACACACACACACACACACACACACACACACACACACACACACACACACACACACACACACACACACACACACACACAAGCTAAGCGCTGTGCCACCTGTGTGTCAGTCTGCCCTGCCAGTGACACGGCAGTCACCCAGTCCATTTGGTTTAATGTGCCTGTGATGAATGAGTCGCGCCGCCATAAATACGGCTCCTTGACTCTTCCTTCCTTTGTCCTTCTCCTTAACTTATCCACACTTCCCTCTATCGCGACATCCTTTCAGCCATCTCTCCTCTGCAGTAATTAATCTATAGGAGTCATAATTCTGCCGTAAAATGACACTATGGAAGGATGGGAGGCGAAGATGACACTAGCATATAGATAAAGGAGAGGTGCTCTGATTACGCAGGGGAAGGTTAAAGACGTAAAGATGATTTGAGATGCCGGCAGCAGTGTGAAAGTTTAATTAGCAGCGTTCTCGTTTGACAACCAGTGGGTTACAGGAGCTTTTCTTAAAGTAACACCTTCTCAAAGCCAACACCTTTATGTGGTTAAAAGGTCAAACATGTGCACACATTGTAAATAATCAATGATCTTGTTTCTCTGAAATGCATTTACCCAGGGGAATCTCAGAACCAATACAAAAGCCCTTTGATACATCACTTTTAGGAATACAAACCTCTGTTTCTATAACTTAACAAAAACTTCTCAACCGTCCAAACATAGGCAGCTTTACAAGAACTTCCTTATTATAACACTTTCTGTTGTTGGCAAATGTTCAAAGATAAACTTTTGTATTGAGTAAATATTTAAGGTATTCCGTTTTTGGTATTTGAACTTCTTTGCTTTGAAGACATTTTACATTATCACACACCAAAGCTCACATTTGAATGTTGCTTTTGAGAACCGACTTCAAATGTTGATTAAAAAATCCAATCCCTTATTCCAATTTTCAGGTTGGAATGCTCTTATTGTTAGTGTGTTTTGTTGCTTGAATTGATTTTTAAGAAGATATGCTAATACGATTGGGAAACTTAAAATCTTGCCGGCATAAGCCTTGAGAAGGGATCAGGGAATACACACCAAAGCACAAACGCACGCACGCACGCACGCACGCACGCACGCACGCACGCACGCACACACACACACACACACACACACTCTATTCCTTTTGATTATTCTCTCTCCCTGTTTGAAATGTATTCAGCCCGTTGCTGCATTTGCTGCCCTTTTTGTGTGTCAGTGATGATGGAAAGGTCGTCTTTGATTTGTTTAGCGGTAACAACGGCCATGTCAAAGCTTCTCACCCCGTGTTTGCCTTTCCAATGGGCTCATTAAAATCTCCTGTCAAACAAATATACTTCTGAAATATATTTTGTAAACGGTTTTTTTCTGTAATGTTTCTTCTGGTTGATTTAAAAAGGGACAAATGTTGATTTTTAGCTTGTTGTTCTTTAAAAAGCTAAGCAATTGTTTCACACCCAGAGTATTTAAATCAATAGATGTATCACTGCGCTAGTGCAGGTTATATAAACAATAACACCTCCAAAAGTTTCGAGCAGCAGTCAGGAGTAGGAGTTTGGGGGTGTTTTTCAGAGCGACTTGCTCAAAGCAATATAGCTGTTAGCTTACAGCAAAGCTATGGGTGTGTACGACAGTGTGGGTAATCAATCTATATTTATTGTTTGATATTTCAACCATAAACTTGAATAAGGAGCCCGTAAAAGTTATTTAGTCTTGGTCCACAACTCAAGGCTGAAATGTGCCTGAGGGAATGGTCATCTTAAATTTGTCTACATCTTTATTAGCAAGGATATACAGCCTGCTATCCATTTATGTGAATTAGTTGAGCATGTTTTCCAATCATTCTACAAAGTGCTTTTACAGCTTACCACCCTTGTTGAACTTTTACAGAAACTTTAAACTTCACATGGTTTCTGAACTTAATGATTTGAATGTCCCTAACCATTTTTACGCCCAGGTGACCAATAAGGTGGAGCTGGAGCCCAGGCAGTTTGTTGATTGGATGCGTCTGGAGCCCCAGTCCATGGTCTGGCTTCCTGTCCTGCACAGAGTGGCTGCTGCGGAGACGGCCAAGCATCAGGCCAAGTGCAACATCTGCAAGGAGTGTCCTATTGTTGGCTTCAGGTAAGCACACACACACACACGAAATAAAGAGTTTGCATATAACGGACCTCACACACACAAACGCAGAATGTGGCAGTGTTCTGTGTTGTTCTCTCGAGGTTGAGCATAAAGGGCAAGTCGGCTCTGGAGGCCAGGCATTTAACTAAATGTCAACAGCTGATACACCACTGGCTAAATACCATCCGGTGGATTTCAAGGAAACACACACACACATACTGACAAAGACAGCAATATGCTCACACACACACACACACACACACACACACACACTCACACTCACACTCACACTCACACTCACACTCTCACACTCACACACCCATAGCTGCCTTTGCATCAGTTGTTTCTGATCTTATCGTAACAACAGGTAGAGAAACATGTGTGTTGCTTTTCCACAGCTATAGTCCATTTATCATTCAAAAATGGTTCTTTCACTTAGCAGTTTTGCAGCGAGAAGCATTTTCCGGGGCCTGGTTATACGTGTTACATTATCCCAAGTGAAGGAGGGTTGCTGGATTGTCCCCTTCAGGTTCCTTGCTTTGCCAGCAGCAAGAGAAATACAGTCAGACATTAGATGAAGCACACGTCTGCCAAGTTCTGGCGTTGATCGATGAGAGGGAGCGATGGACGAAGGAGAAAGGCAGAGAGCACGGACGAAGAAGAGGAGGAAGGAAAATGCGTAGCAGGCATTTTGTAGATTTCATTTTTCCTCTTGCAAGAAGCAGGAGTTTTCAAACTAGCATGGTACATGGGATTGTCCAAGAACTCAAACTGAATTTCAAGGACAGTGTGTCAGCAGATATGATAAATGTCAACTCAAGCCACCAGATATGGTTTGGAATGTTAACAAGCCACATTTAACATGCTCCATTTCTTCTGTATTGAAGCAAGCTTGTCCTGAACATATGTTACAACAGCTTTTTTACTTTCAGTGTTTGATCTGCTAACAATAATTAATTAAAATGCAATAGCTTCTCCTACAATAGACCTTCATGGTGTTTTGAACTTGACATTTTGTTGTACTGACTAAATTGGATGTTAACATTTATGTTTTAGAGCAGTTGTATTGCTCCAGTTATGTCTTAATATCTTCTTGGTTATGGCATCTTATTGCTATTTAATTCAGTGATCCTTAACCAGGGGTAGGTCAAACATTGTGAGTACTTCTTCAGTCGCCACTGAACAATTGTGGTGTAGCTGAGGTTATAAAAAAAAAGAAGGAAATTAGGACTTGATATAAGAATGTTATGAACATAATTTTGTTTAAGTGTTACGTTGATTTTAAGTATAATTAATGTCACATAACATGTACACTTTACCAGCTTGGCTGCTGAGTACATACGTCCCATCTGTCTAAGTGGTAACATTATTATAATATCATTAATACACTTATTTCTGCTATTGGTATTATTGCTTCTTTTGTTATTCCTATATCAAACACTACTGACCATACAATATCTTTATCATTTTTGTCTGTGAAGCATATGTCCTAAAATCTTGCACGGGAGCTTAATAAAATCACTTTTTAACAGATAACGGATATCACTTTAGAAGACCAGACGGTGCATGTCCCATCATTAACCAAAGTTGTTAGTGTATAAACTCATTAATTAAAGGTCTTCTCAGCACCTTAAACTGTGAAGGTGAATTAACGCCCCCTCCTCATAGTAATATGCTGCATGTCAGTATGTAATGGCGCATTTGACTTGGCGTTGTCGTGTGCGCTGTTGCATTCTTTTGATATATGGCCGTCTCGCAGCTCATCAGTCAGCTAACCTTGGGAGAGCTTGAGAGGAGAGAGAGATAAAAGACTTAAGCTATTATGTGTGAATGGCTTCTGTCTCAATTGAGCTGTTAAATGGCCTTCCGGCTACAACTGCTGCCGAGGACAACATCCTGACAGTTGTTGTCACGTTGTTGTGTTTTGCTGGAAATCCAACTGTCCATCACACTGCCAGCATATTGGAATGGTGTTTGTTTGTGTGTGAATGAACACACGTGGAGGATTGTGTGAAAGAGTGACTGGAGAAATCGACAGTTCTGCATGAAGCCTTAGTGTAGCCTGGAGATGATTCATGATGAAGGGCGACATATGTGCGCACGCACGCACGCACGCACGCACGCACGCACGCACGCACGCACGCACACACACACACACACACACACACACACACACACACACACACACACACACACACACACACACACACACACACACACACACACACACACACACACACACACACCTTGAGGACATGAAAGTGACGTGTACACACACACTACGTCCAAACTTTAGTATTCTCACTTTTCACCTTCCTTTCTTTGCACTCATCTCTCTCTATCTAGGTATCGCAGTCTGAAGCATTTCAACTACGACGTGTGTCAGTGCTGCTTCTTTTCTGGGCGCACAGCCAAGGGCCACAAGCTCAACTACCCCATGGTGGAGTACTGCACACCGGTAAGAGAGTAACACACACACACGCACGCACGCACGCACGCACGCACGCACGCACACACACACACACACACACACACACACACACAACTTATCTCGTATGTCATTTCATGAATTACTGCTTTAATGAAGTCACACACTTTCACAACTACTTCAACACATTTATACCGATTTGATATCTGATTCACCTTACGCTGAACTGATTTTTAATTGATATTTGATACTCAAGTATATGGACAGCTCAGTGTTTTACCCATCTTTGATGGATAAACCATGAGTGTCAGTATAATGCTAAAACAAGGTATTGATGCAGTTGGGGTGTGAATGCAGAGATCTAGCAAAAGAAAAACTCCTTTAGAAGACTTTCATACTGTGACAATGCATGGTCATTTGCATCGGAAAATCCAATATTTACAAGTGCTTCTTCCTAGAAGATTATTTTGTAGCATGAAAGCAGTATTTGTACCATTTAATAGCCAATAATTGCAGGAAAAAGATAAAAAAAACGATCTCTACATTTTTGTCGTCTCTACACCCGTTATATCTTGTAGCATTTTGGGAGTCTGATGAGTCTTTAAACTCATACATCTTAAACTGGACTACTGTTAGTATTTAAGCGTTATACAAGTACCTGACCCAAAACGCTCCAAAACATAGCAGTCTACAGGTAAATGCAACCTAAAGCTTGAGGTAGTGAAATCCAATACGATTGAGTCATTCTCCCCAGAACTCAGAACCATTTAGCCTTCTAGAGTTTTTGTTGAAGCGTTTCATTTAAAGTTCTGCAAGACATTTGTATTCCCTCACTGTGATTAATGCAGGTTGACATTACTCCTGCCACTACGTCCTACTTTCCTCGCAGTTGATTTCTGCAACTTGCTCCACAATCAAGCCTCCCGACAGACCCCTGGCCTAATTTGAATTTTCATGAACAAATGTTAAAATGTTCGTGGCTCTCGGAGGTCTTCTTAGAATCACTGCCAGAAAGCAATATTTCACTTTACTACTACACAGAGAGAAGAATATTAGAAAGGCGAGAGCTTGGGGAAATTGAACATTGCCCTTCTTCTCAATTAGGATTGCACACTTGTGGGCCAACTCATTTCAATTTTGCTTAACGTCTAACTTTGAGTGACTGGAGTGGAGACGTTTTTTTCATTTCTGTCTTTTAATTTGCTTTTTCAATTTTGCAAATGGGATAGATATTGACTCTGGGAGAGTAGCTGGAAGGAGTGGTGATCATTCTTCCCTGAGTAAAGAAGCCCAGCAGCTGCCGGCCACGACTTTGAAAAAACTTTTTTATATTCAGCGACAGAAGGTTGCAACAACAAAGACTTAAAGTGTGGGTTTGAGCTTATTACTTAACTCTAGGTTGCGTTAATCACTAAGGAGTTTGGAGTGTTACCATAAAGGAAAAACTGTGACTTTAAAGAGGGTTCAAAATACCCCTCTATCTCATTGTGTTGTCTCACGTTCATCCTGACCTTTTCTGTGGCCTGGCCAATTGATTAAGTCTTCATACATTATTAGTATAAATAATGAAAGCACAAAAAGGGCATTATTAGACTCTCTTTTAGAGATGGCCGTTAAACGTGCATACTGTAGCTTAGCAAATCAGATTTGGATTAGATGAGGTCATGAACATAAAGCCCATGCTTAACAAACAGATATGACAGCGCATATAAACTATACTCTGTGTTCATATGGTACCCCAGTCTGTCACAAAGTTGACCTCATCGTTAAGAATTGGTTAAAGGAATATGTCCTCACATTTAATTCCTGATTTTTTCTTTTTGCCCCCCTTATTTTATGATAAAGTAAGGTCTGTAGCATGATTACTTTATTTGGTGTTATCAAAATAAAAAATGAAGAGAGACAATAATCAGTATAGCAGAAAAGAGAGGCTTGTGACAGCTGCCTGGAAGCTGCACACAGTCCTGTGACACACTCAAAAGACAAAATATTTTAAGCACCGAGTAAATTAATACTTCAATTGATCAGCCTTTCAAAGGTATGCTCTGCGTCTGCCAGAAAGCAATCCAAACGTGCCACCATCACTACTTTGAAGAGTGGCTCTGACAGCAGCGTACTGTCCGCAGGCTTTTCAGCACAAACAAGGATAAAGGGATCAATGAATGGCGCCAAATACTAGCAAATGGTTGAGGACAGCTTGCTTTGCAGTTGCCAAACACGTTAGACAGGTGCAAAAGCTTATGTTCTGTTTGAACAATGCCCTTGAGCATACAGTCAAGTGAGATCAATACTGGAATAGCTATAAACAACATCCTAAAACCTTCTAAAGCTTCCACTTGATTTCTGCTGAATAGTTGTAATGTCACTTAATAAGCACTGCATATTCAAGTTAGAGAAGCGTATTTACCTGCAAAGCATTCTACACCGGTAGGAAAATACTCCAAAACTGGTTTATTCAAGATCCAAATTTGCAATACCAGCGAGAGGAAAATCAAATATAACTGGAACAACATTTGAATTCTTGATTTCATCTCAACTTTATTAGACACTCCTGTTTCTCTCTCTTTCGTCTAAAAAGATCAGAATCGTATATAATTGTATTTACCCCGTCCCCCTATACTCAAATCAAATTGGTCGCAGTTTTATACGTTTGAAATGTTCAATCCAGTATTGAATAACGACTCTACAAAAAACAGATTTTGCAGAGTTAAAGACTGATAGTGGCTTTAGTGATCCTCAGTGCGGTCATTTAATAAGATTTGTTCTCACATCTTTGTCGTGCCGTCTACTTTATGGCCACAATATTGCTTTTTTTATTAGGTTTTTATTTTTATGTGTCGCATTTTCATAGCTCCAATGGGATTTCTCTGTGATATTGAAGAAGCAGAATGTGGTGGGCTGCTGTATTGATTGCTGTAATTGAAGTGTTTTTTTCCTTTCCTAAGTGGAGATGTTGTTTGGATTCCACTGTGTCTGATGGACTTTTGCTGTCACACTCTGTCAGAGAGCGTCCTGGTGACGCACACGCTGGAATGTCAACATCTCCAATTTGTTTCCAGCTGGGGTCTCCTTTTCTCTCTTTTACCTATATATATTTTTTAAGGCAAAAAATCTCATCTTAAAAGGATACAAAATGTGTCTGTTAAACCACATATGAAGGAGCTTATGTAAAGACAATTACACATATGACGCACACAAATTCTCTCGCAGCTTCAGTATAATTGTTCTTTAATTGCCTTTAATTGCGCACACTACCTTCTAAAATGTCAGGGATTAGTCACTAAGCCAAGTGAACTTAATTGTATGTTTATTTACGCATCTGTCAACTGTTGGAGTAATATTAATTTGTGGTGGTTGTCTGAATCCTCTGCTAAGAGATTTCCCCCCTCCGGTCACACTGTTGTGGTAATTTGTTGTTTGCTTGCAAAGCAGAAACCGCTTCTGCAGGAAGAACACGTTTGCTAAGTATCTAATTAACAGAACAGGTTCTATTTCACACAAATGCATATGCTGCTGATGTCTGCACAAGAGACAGTGGAAATGCACAGACATGGCTCACAAAGGGCAATAAATAACACACAATCTCTGTCTGTCTCTCTCTGTGTCACTCCTTCTGCAGACGACATCGGGTGAGGACATGCGAGATTTCACCAAAGTGCTGAAGAACAAATTCCGCTCGAAGAAGTACTTTGCCAAACATCCACGGCTGGGTTACCTTCCAGTGCAGACAGTTCTAGAGGGCGACAACATGGAAACGTAAGTAACACTTGAGTGTCTAAATTAAACAGAGCAGAGCTCAGATCAGATTGGCTCGAGTACAATAAGAGTTTTTATATACAGGTTGACTGACTGAAACAGAATCCACCCTCATCTCAATCATGCATCACATACCTTTCAGCGTTTGTAAAGTTACTTCAATCCCAAGTCAAAGAGATGTTGTCTTCAGTAATGAAGTTGGTTTGTGAATGAACAGGTTGGGGCTTTTGTAACAAAAGGGATATAAATCAAAACCGTAAAAAAGATATGAGCTTAAACGGTGGGACAATAGAGCCCTTACAGTACTTACCCGTGCTAACAATACAGAGAAAGAATTATAACTTGGAAAATTGATTTTTTTACTTTTACGTGTCTTTAAAAGCAGGGCTGATAGTGACAACATGCTCGAACTGTGTTCTTAATTACTACTTCAGTGATTTCGAATTACACATCAGTATCATTCAGGGACAAAGGAGAGACAGATTCAAATACCAATGTTCAAAATGATTGCTGATGAGTCTGAGATATCCTGACAAATGCTCTGAAACCGCTTTATGGCGGCTTTATTAACTCCATTATAACTTCTCGGCTCAGAACGGCTCTAAAGTTTCTCAGCTCCCTGCTCCCAGCTTGTAGATCAGGATTTTTTATGTTGACCACTTGTAAGTCTTAGAGCCGATTACTTGAGTAATAAAATCTAAATTATTAATTTTCTCTGACTTGAAGAAACTTCCCTAGGGCCACACAACACATCATACCCCCCTTGATTGGCTTTTAATATGTAACATTCCTGGAGAGCTCCCTTTAAATATATCTAACTGTCAAATCTCTGTCATAAATATCCACACATGCGCTCCAGTGTGTTGGGAGCGTTCATTTCCCTCTCAGTTCATGTGTTTATTTACCTGTCGGTCCAGTCATTACCAGGCGTCGCGGCTGCACTGTAGATCATCTGTCTGCAGCACCTGGCCCGGTGACTACGTCTGATTTATGTCCCTGCTCCTGCCAGCCGTAAATCCCCCTGCAGGCCCGTTTAACTCGGCTCACATTATGCAGGCGCCCCCGGTGGGCTGCTCGTCCTCCCCTTAGGAGTGTGTGTCTGAGTTGTTGCCCTTTCGAATACCGGCCCGCCTGCCCCTCGCGCTCCGAGACAGTCACTCTTTTTTATTCCTCATTTGATCCATCAATCTCTCTCCTTCTCTTCTGCCTGTCGGACATTTCTCGCTCAGGCTCTTATTACTTTTGAACAATGTCGTTTTGCATGTTGTGCGCACCAGAAACTAAAAGATGTTTGGTAATGACTCACCTGAACACTTGCAATAGATTCTCCCCGACATCCAGTTGCACACGGCCACCTCTCAGATGGATTGCCCCTCCTCTTTCATCCCTCCCAACCCTTAGCTGTCCCCACTCCCACCTGCCACCTTGCTCCACTCTCACTTTCCTTTCTCTTTGACAAATGACTCCTGCAGAGATGCCTGTTTGATAAATGCCTCCAAAATGTGGAAGAATTGTGGCGAAAGCAAGGATCTTTTCAAAATCTGTTATAAGAGATGGGAGATTTAAAGAAATGTAAGACTTTTTCATCGGGGTCATCAAATTCTCATCTCTCTTACTGTAGTAGGTCTCTCCTGTTGACTGTGGGCTATCCACATGACGCCACAGGCTGAAGTCCACTATTCACAGCTTTGTAACAATAATCCTGAAGTGCAATATCGTCAATAAGATGTGGCTGAAATCTCTGATAATGCTCTGCGTGGCACATTTATTATAAACCCTTATTATCACACTTAAGTGACTTTTTCCATCTCGGTGTCATTAAATCAATACTGTGATCTAAATTGAAATAGATTTTTTCTGTAATTGGAACACGGCATAAAAAGAGGAATCACACACATCATTACAGTTGCTGCTGTGTACAGAATGTTGTAAATACTTATGATTTCTCCCAATGTTTCAACTTCTAAATATAAAATAGTGTGCATATTTTTGTCTTATATCAATCTGAAAAATCAGTACATTTAATACTACTTACATCATCCTGAAGATCATGCTTAAAGATGTAAAGTAATCCCTTGCTGTGGATCATTTTAAACAATGTTTTAGGAAAGCCATATGTCGCTCCATTGGTTGTCTTGATAAAGTGAACTTTTAAGAAGTAGCAGCAGAAGGGAAATTACACAGTCTGCTGTATAATTGGCCTCCCTAATGCACTCACTCAGTCTCTCTGCTTTCCATTTTTCTTTTTTTAATTCCTCCCACTCTGCTTTCCACCTTGAGAGCAGAACACCACCTACTCTCTCACCTCCCACTTATATCCTTGCTTCATTTCACGGCAGAAAGGATTTTTAATTTCTCCCAGCTATATTTGATAATGTGAAAGAACCCTTCTAATGGTTTCCCACTCAGTGTTGGTCCTCGCTCATTACCTTACACAACCTGATACAATACACGAGTCTCTGCTGCAGAGGCGAATTGGTGAGTGTGGATTAAAAAGTGGCTAAATCTTTTAGTTTTTTTCAGAATCCAGTTTTCATTTTTCGTGAAACTCAAGTAAATAAGTTTAGGTTTATTAAAACTTTTCTGGCGGGTAAAATGCATTTTGCACAATCTTTTTTTTTTTAAATGAACCACTAATAGAGAGCATTGTCTCAAGCTGGATGTGTTTGTGCATTGTGGTAGTAATGGTGGATCAATGTTTTTACAGTGGGCAACACACACACACACACACACACACACACACACACACACACACACACACACACACACACACACACACACACACACACACACGCGCGTACGTTTGTCTTACCAGCCCTCTAGCTGTCTTTCTGACGGACAGGTAGTCAGAAGGTCTTTATCCCTGACAGGAAAATAGAGGACAAGGAGAACAGAGGAAGCAGCACAAACTGTAACAGAGTGACTTCCACAGCATGATGGACTAAATTGATTCTTTAGAAAGGTCTCGGGACATTCACCAACAAAAAAACCTCTGAAAACCCAGTGAAACACAGACGGCCCGATTTTCACAAATACATTACGAGACCATAACATGAATAAGCTCTTTAGGCAGTTTCAAGTGCTTAATGGTTGCTTTGGATACTAAAGGGGAGTGATTATCAATAGTCAGTGTATTTCAGTAGATGGCGGTCGAAAAAGTTACAGCACGAAAGCTGCTTGCGGACAGAGCTGGATAAATACTATGGAGCCTATATAAATGCTATATTGAGAATATATATATTTTACTGCTTTGTTTGCCGTCAGACAGTCTGTTCCAGGCTGAGACCTGAAGCTGTTTTTATCTGTAGTTATTGATTCTCTTAAAAGCTAATCCGACCTCATTGATAAAACAGCACATCTACCTTGAAGTTGCTGTTCCACCACTGCCTTGATAAGTCAGTTTGCTTGTGTTGTGGATTTTGGTGTTTTTAAAGGGTTAGTTCAGATTCACCGAAGTCAGATAATAACACAATCCTATCCCATTAAGGAGCTAATGAGCAGCAAAGCGCTCCAAAGCGTATGTCTGGTAGCAAATGAGATCTTTTAGTTGTGTGCATTAGTTAACCCCAGACTCCACATTCACTCCACTGGCAAGACATTTACTTCTATTTTAAAGGCTTTGTTAAAATGTTAAAAGTGTTTGGATGTATTTTTCTAATTCACTTAAAGCTCACCCTGTGTTAGGTCAAATATAAATGCAGAGACTATTTAAAAAAACAAACTCAGATTAGGCCACACTCTCACTAGAAAGTACTGTTTTGATCAAGCCAATCAAATTATGATATTCATAATAGATTGGCTGATCTCATGAGAAGAAGACGCGTTTTTCTACCACAGCTCAGCCTGACTGTCAACACAATACCAGTGAAATGTGCAAAAGGGCTCTTCCATGCTCCGTGTTGTTGTTCTCCAGGCACAACAAGCCGTCCATGAAAACACACATTTACAGCAGCCACATTTGTCAAGCCCCAAATACTCCCAAGGTCTCTGCTGCTGTGATTCCTCCCCTGCCTCTCCTTAAGTCCCCTTCATTTCAAACTTTTTTATCTCTCATGCTTCATTTCAAATGTCATCTCCCTCTCTCCTTTTCTGTAGAAGCAGGTTGTTTTTCTGTCTTCACTACAAACTTGATCCTTTTTAAGTGCATCCATCTGGAGGTTAAAGTTCGGTCATTCTATGTCAGTCAGACGCATTTTGATGAGAGGAAAACTGTCCAAACCTTACAAAGCTATCCTTTTTTTGGCAAAGATGACAACTTACATCACTCTCATAAAACATGAGCAGAGACGGCGGGGGAGCATAACAAATGTTGCACCATGGGCTATGTATAGTAAGCTCAGTCTCCCTGCTGACCCCGATTTCTTGTCTCCCACCGCTTCTCTCTTTTTGTCTTTTCCGTCTCAATCCCCTGCTGCATTTAGAAATCTTCTCGCAGCTACAGAAGTGTGACTACCCTAGATGCCCCGCTGTGAGAAACACAACCACAAAGCCGCACGCCTCCCTCTAAATATCCTGCCTTAATTTGAGAACAAAAGCAAGACAATTTAATTTCAACCTCAACGCTTATCTTCCCAATTTCTTACGAGCCTCCTCCGTGAAAATAACACATTTCTTTGTATTGTTGAGATAAGAGGGTGTCCCAATTACTTACAAACAACAACTTATGTACGGCAGTTATAAAAATAGCTGCAATTATCACGGACTAAAAAACTGAAGCATTAAAAGAATCAAAATAAATCAAGACACATGCCCCAGGCATTCAGGTTTGTCACATTTTTCTATCCAAAATCCTTAATTAACAGCAGCTTCATTTGCTGTGTTCTTACAGTATGGACCAAATGCATAATTCTAAATCATAATGTACTGAATAGCAGATTAACAAAAACATATGTTCTGTATATCTTTTTACTGGTTTGCTTTTTCAGTTAATCTGGCTGGAAATAAATGAAGAAAGGGAATGAATTGAGGGCATACCATTCTTTATGCTGAAGGAATTGTAAAATT